ACGTGCGCGTCGGCTCAGCAGCATGGCGTCCGTGTCGCTGAGCGAGGCGGAGAAGGTGTACATTGTGCACGGCGTCCAGGTAGTAGCTCCGGCGGCGGCGGTCTGGGTTCTTCTGGTTGTGCGGGTTGCGAGGGCCCTCGGGTCGCCAGGGAAGAGCGTCCAAGCTGCTGCGAGACTGGCTGACCTTGTGCCTTGCCGGCGCGGCGTCCGCGAGTGCCGCCGGTGCTGGCGTTTTGGGGTCCTGAGGCCGAGGGTGCCCTCGGGATTGATTACCTTTTGCAGCCTTTCCGTGAGATGAGATTCGGTCCTCGTCCGGAAGCGGGGGGCAGCTTCTGGGTCGTCTCTTACCGGCTGCGTTCAGCTTTCGCACCCTCGGCTGGACTGATGATGTCTGTGTGCTCCAGGAAAGGAGGTGGGCGTCTGGCCCACTTTTCCTGACCTCGTGTTGGGGAGACCCAGAAATAGCATGCACCTGAGGTGAAAAAAAGCAGTTTTAAAAAGCAGTTTGGCTGTAGGAAACGTGATTATTGCGGCTTCCCACCTTGAAAGTAGAGAACTAATCCCCTTATGCAACCATAGCTACAGTCTTTTATGCTCACACTTCAGCACCTGGCACTGATCTGTCCTGGTTCCGACCACCCTGGTCGTTATGTACCTGGTATCTCTTCCTGGCTGTGTCCCCACTTGTGAGTGCACGGGGTTGTGCTCCCCTCAGAGTTCTTCAGCCCACCAGCGGAGAGCCCTGGTGGCAGCTCTTCCCACTCCCTTCGTGCCTTCCCCTTGGCAGGAACAAATTGGAAAGTCACATGAAGGCAATCAGTTAAATCCCCTAGAGGTCCACAACGTCAGTAAAGACTATGTCCTTTTTATTCTTTGAGGCAGGGTCTCCCTTTGTAGTTCAGGCTGGCCCTGAACTCACTATGTAGCCCAGCCTGGCCTTGAACTCTTGGCAATCCTCCTTTCTGCGTGCTGGGATTACAGGCATGTACCACTGCTCCCAGTTTAAGACTATGTCCTTGTAAAATTGTGACCTCTTATTAACATCTGCTCCCTTGTAAACTATGCAGCATCAAGGCTTAGTCAGCGGGCTGCATATTAAACTTGGATTTAAAAAGTCAAAATTCAAAATTCCGTGAGCTTTCTAGTCCCAAGAAAAGGAGGATTCATGGCAAGAGCCAGAAAGGTCCCACATGGCTCTCACGAGTCCTATAATGGATCACATTGGCTGTGCAGCTTTTTCTAGTAATAACCCTGCTTTTTTTCCCTGTCAAAGTATTTTCCATCTCTGTGGACACTTGCTGTCCACCATCTCCTATACCCTGATAAGATCTGCCCCTCTCCCTACCTTTACTTTTGTGTGGCCTTTCCAGCTCCCTCCCTACCACACTGTGACCTGTTAACCCCTCTCTTTATTTTTAAGACAGGATCTTGCTAGTTCATACTAGCCTTGAGCTCACTATGTAGTCCAGGCTGGCCTCAGACTTGTGATCCTCCTGCCTCATCCTCACAAATGCTGGTGTGACAGGCGTGCGCCTCCATGCCCAGCAGCCCCTCTTTAACTCTTTCCTTTGAAATGTTTCCTGGATCATAGATGAGAGTCAAATGAGAGAACTAGTTTTGCCTAGCAGTGTTGCATGCCCTGAAGAGCTGGTCCCCTTATAATTGTACGCTTTTGATTCTTGCACAAATCTTTGGCTGTTTGAGGGAAGGTGGTCTCAGTTAGGTGGCTAAGGAACAACTGTAGGCACAGTGGGCTTCCCCAGGGTCAGCCTACAGAACTGGCTGTCACAGGTTAACTCCAGCCCAGAGGCTCTCCTCCTGGGTCCCATCATGGCTCCTTCTTGTATGTTCTTGTGTGAAGGAGCTGTGGCTCAGCAGGTGGTTTGTTTTTTTTTCTGTGCTCTAGCTTTCATCATGATGCATTGTCGGGGAGGCAGCGCAGGGGAAAGAGAACAGCTGTAGCACAGAGCCCAAGCCTGGTCTTTGGCTGTGGGGTTAAGTTAGCACTCAGCTGCTCCGAGCCCCCAGCACTCTTGCTGAACAGCTTCCCACCCCGGGACAAACAGAATGAAACCTGGTGGCTGAGCTTCCTTCTCTGGTATCCCCTTTTCAGGGTTGGTTTTGAGGTCCCAGAAACAGAAAGGCGCAGCTGTGAAGGGAAGACTGAGGGAGGGTGGTGCCCCTTAAGTGATCTGTGCCTTTGGGCACTCCTGTAACTAGGTGGGCTTGTTCTTGCTTGGGGCTCCTGAAAGCTGCCGTGTGACAGCAGAGATTTAAATACTAGTCAGAAGGTGTTGCACCACACCCAAAGCAGGGTTGTGGGAATGGTAGTGGAAGTGGCCAGGGGCTGGCCTTGTGGGCCAAAGCCCTGGCTGTGGAAGGTGCTCTGTCTCCTCGGCACAGTACAGGGCACACACCGCTGAGTGTCAGCCATTGACATCACCCTTAGGCTTAAAACAGAACCCTCAGCTCAGGGCCACCCTTGTGGAAGAGCTCCTGCTCTCAGGGATGAGTTGCTCTGCTCCTGAGTGCCCAGTACTGCAGTACTGACGAGGCTCTATTTTCTGACACATCCAGCCCTGCCTCGGGACCGTGAGTTGTCACTTCAGGAGCTGTGACTGGACCTTGCCAGAGTGTGGTTTTCCAGAGAGAGGGCTCTGTTTAAAAGCAGTGTTTGGAAGCCCTGGGACCACGGTCACATTGTCACCAGGGCCACTTGGTAGCCAGCCACTTCATCCTTTGAAGAGGCCCTGTCCTGACTATTTTTGTGAAGCAAAGAGGCTACTAGAGTGCAGCAGGCGGCATGAAATAGCCAGAGCCCTGGCCCTGAGGTCAGATGCTCCCTCCTGGCTGTGTGAACTTGGGCCAGCATCCGGGCATCCTCCAGCCTCTGTTTCTCATTGGTGAAATGGAATGAGGTGGGCCAGGGATGTAGCTCAGTGGCAGCGCGCCTGCCTTGCAGGTGCAAGGTCCTGAGTTTGGTCCCCGCTACCAAAAAAGAAGTAGAATGAGGAGATGTGTCTTAGGGTGGTGCAGGAATTTGCGTGTTCCTGGCATGTTGTCTAATAAGCAGTAACCGCACAGTGCGCAGTAGATCCTGTTATCATATGTAATCACGGCCACTTCATAGTCTGTGGAATTAGAGAATTACCTTGGAGACCGATCATCTTTTACAAAGAAGGAAACTGGTCCATAGTGGGGAGAAACTTGTCCCAAGTCGAGGAGTGGCTGATGCTCCTGGTGATGGCTCTCTGTGTCCCACCTGCAGCCCCGGACAGAGCTTGGCTGGGCAGAGCTGGGAAGCCTTGGGGTTCCGTGGGTGGGTTGTAGAGCGATACATTGGAGGTCAGGGGTCCTGAGGTACGGGGCTCTGCCCCAGGTAGGGGATTGTGTTGGCCTTGGGTGGACAGGTCTGTGTTCTCTCGTTGAGGAGTCAAGAGGGTTAATGAGTGAAAGTGGGTGCATTACAGGATCACATGGAGCAGAGGTGTCTGCTTTTCTGTTTAACTTCTCAGAAATAAGAAACGTTCATCACATATGCAGTTAGCTTAACTGGTTTAAAGATATGTTTCTGTCAATCACAATTTTCCTGTTTTTTCGTTTATGTTTTGGAGAGTGTTGCCCCTTTGAGTATTTGATGAAGCTAATGATTCTTTTTCTCTGGGGAGGAAACTGCTTTCAAAAAATATAGTGAGGAGCCAGGTGTGGTGGTGTATGCCTGTAATCCAAGCACTGGGGAGGCTGAGACAGGAGGATCGCTGTGAGTTCAAGACCAGCCTGGGCTAGGTGAGTTCCAGGTCAGTCTCAACTACATAGTGAGACCCTGTCTCAAAAAACAAAACAAAACCAAG